TCGTCGAAGGCCCAGACACACGTCCTCTTTTTCACAGTATGACCGTCAGCTATGCAGGAGCGCTGCTCATTCACACCCGTCCATGTTCCATTACTTCCGCTTTATCCACTTCCCTTCAGACACCTGTGCTTTAATTGGGTCGCGCACACAGTATCAGCCAGCAGATATACATGAGGCATGCACTGCACTTAGTAAACGTACGCGTCAATACACAACTGCGTTGAGCTCTCTGGTCTTATTCGTCGTCACGGTTATGTGTAGTGCAATCGGCCTAAATGCAACAGAGTTATTCTAGCGTTATTTAGGGCAATATGTCTGGGACCTAGAAAGCTTCAGTGAACTATGGTATCAATGTTGATGGCGGTTGCTGTTAGACACGGACCAAGTGGTTGGGAGTCTGTTGAGGTTGTCCTTTGAAAGAGTGCGATAACTGGTGCAACCTGGATGTTCATGGTTTGCAAGCAACACAAATAAACCGGTTTTGTGGCGATGATCATTGTGATGCGTAACAAGACATTTGAACATGCGTGAGCTTTATGTACTCGCAAGTGCTACAAGTGTTAACACCATTGGTGAATCGGAGAACGCTGAATTGTTGTTGCTGACACTTTGCTCTTCACCGCCGAATGGAACACATTGTTTCGTGCGGCGATCCTGTTCGTGTTTGATTTGCACGATCCTCACGAACATCTGTGTGCCTATGACTGTCCGTTTCTCAGCAAGTATCCATCTGTGGTGTGTAAAATGTTGTCATTGGTAGAATTTGGGAGGTTAAAATTACAGTGACTATTTTGCTCGATAAAATGCACGTTTAATTTATGATTGTGCTGTTTGTCATTATTTCCAGATGCGCCTTTGTAACTACGTTTTTCACCTACATTGGATAAGAATTCTCCAGTTTGTCAACAACGTCATTACCAACAATGCCTGGACAGTTCTGGCATCATATTCTACCTCTCTGCCTGCCTGCCCAAAATTCCTGCCTACCTACTGATATTTTGGTTTCATGAAACTGTGCCCACCTTACAGAACAAACGTCATATTTTGCTTCAGCGTCCACAAGCATAGAAATCCGGCAATTCAAAATACTTGCTTTTGTTAGTAATAGCGGACTTTCGAATGAATTTCTTGTGCACTGAGGCGGTCACACGCGTTATGGAATTTCCTATCCGGGAAAGAGCTGCATGAGTGCCGAATCTGTCACGCTGTACTTGCACTTGTAAGGCGAACTCACTTACTGCCAATACACTCAAGTGCTCAACCAACGTGGTCGTTCTAGCAACGTCGAATGCGAGCGTGATGGTGCCAAATACTTTTGAGTGCTGCACTTTGCTAATTCAATAAGCACGACTTGATTGTGAAGAGGCCTTGCCACCTACATCGGCGAACATTCAACAGATCCATCCATCCAACGACATCTACTACTAACCTCGAACTGGGGACAGGAAATCGTTGACATGTCAACAGCCACATTGTACTGATTGCCACGTCAAAAGGATAAACATAAAATCAGTAATTTGGAGGTACTAGACCTCAAGGCGACTTATTACTGAATCAACTAATTCGGGATCATATACCTGATCCCACTTCACAGGCTGTGCCATCAAAATTGCCAAAAACGTTCCACACGGAAAGTGGATGCAATGCAGTGCTTTTCAATCAACGCAAAAATAATTAATTCAATGCAAGGCACTTGTTTGTTTATTAGTCATGTTTTGCATTCAGATGTCCATAGTGGAAGGAGATCACACTATCACTACCACCGTCTACATTAGGACGGAATTGAAATACATCCACCCAACCAACGCCTTATACACACCCTCACTTCTACATAGACTCGGCTCTTTAAATTCAAAATGGCCTCGCTGAAGCCCGTCAGGACCAAGGCTAAGCTCTTCTTGGCCTTTCTCATCCTGGTCAACGGGCAACACGGAAGCTGATCTCAAGTCGTTAGTTGTGGCCTGCTATGAATTGCGATGTTACGCAGTGGGCTAGAAATTGTGTGAATTGTCAAATATCCAAGGTGAACAAACACAGATAGACTCCTTTTGGACGCTCTTACCTTTTTCGACCCTAGGTTTGATCACGTGCACGTTGACATTGTTGGACCCTTACCACATTCGAAATGTTTCCGCTATCTTTTGACTTTTTTCGACCGTTTCACCTGATGGCAAGATGCATTCACAATACAAGACATCTCCGCCGAAACCGTCGCACAAACGTTCATGGACAGATGGATCGCATTTTTCAGAGTTCCCTCTACTATCACCACAGATCGGGGAACTCAGTTTGAATCAATCCTGTTTCAAAACCTTACACGACTTTTGGGGACGAACCGCATCCGAACGACGGCCTACCATCCACAATCAAACGGCATGGTGGAACGTTTTCATTTACAACTGAAGGAAGCTTTATGGGCATACAGTGACCCATCTTGCTGGACGGACGCGTTACATCTCGTGTCACTTGGAATCCAATCAGCCGTCAAGGAGGATTTAAAGTGTTCCTCTGCCGAGATGGTTTAGGATCAACATTATGACTACCTGGGCAGTTCTTCACCGCTGCTTCGCAATCAACATGGCGGGACGCGTGCAACTGCGTCGAGCGATTACGTGAGACTATGAACAAGCTGGCAATTACACAACCGCGCCTGCAGTCCACTGCTTCGATCACTCCGCAAGAGTTGCCTTAATGCACCCACATTTTCATCAGACTCGATGCAGTTCGCCAACCAATTCAGCCCATCTACGACGGACCCTTCAGAGTGCTCAGACGAGAAGAAAAGGGTTTTGTCGTCGACCACAATGGCATAGAAGACGCCGTGTCTGTCGACCAACTTAAGCCAGACTTCCTCGACATGCAAACTTCGCCAAACATTAAGCCTTGAACGCAACAAAATCCCATCTCTGTAGACAATAAAAATGCTGTAACCACGACACGCTTCGGCAGACGCGTTTATTGGCCCGATCGACATTCGGCTTGAAAGGAAGACATCACGTGTAACCCATTTCACAGTCGACGAGTGTAGTGCGAAATAAACCGTAGTTGCCTGAAACTAGACACAAGCAAATACGACTGGTTACAATTTGCGTCGATCACTTCTTGCACAAAATGAGTAATCCAATCCACTTTTACTTGCAGACGCACATTCATTCCGGATTTTGCGCCACGTTTATTGCAATCATTATGGCCACACGATTCTAAGTAGTTCTAGATTAAGCACTGTGGTTGCAAAGATGACAACATCATTCGTTGACATCTCCACGCACCAGGGAATCCAACGACCAAAATTGATTGATTTCACTACAAGACTTCAACGGATGAGTTGAATGCATATGCATTCGGATCATGAAGCCTCTTTACCATCACGCCGTGCTAATTGATTTAGCAAAGTGCTGCACGCACACGCAGTTTGCACCTCCTTGCTCGCCTCTGAGGCCACTTCAAAGGCCACACTGATTGAGTTCTGCGTAAAAGTGCAAGTGCAACGTGGCCCATCCGTAGCCTGCAATTTGTGCCCTGCAGAAATGTTCGATTAAATGTGAGGCAACTGAAGTGCGAACAAATGCTTACGAGTGCTGTCCACTGTTATTATTACTGCGAAGTTACTGAGCATACACCATTGTTTAAATAACATTCCGGTGACAGCCGTTTAAACACACGGGAAGGTGGACCAGCTGGTCATGGCATGCATTTGACCTAATGAGACACGTCTACGGAGGAGCTTGACAAAAAAATGTGGTTAAATCACGAAATCCCTAAAAGAAGGAACTAATTGGTGTTGTTAAACATCTTTCGTGTTTTATTATTCCTTTTGAGTTCTGCGTAAAAGTGCAAGTTCAACGTCAGTTAGTAATATAGTCTGACAGTCACGTTTCTCATAGATGTCTGTGTGCCTTCTGCACAAATATACATTTGTGGAGGGTAAAGTGTCGTCGTTGGCAGAATTAGTTGCAACTTCGTCACAGCCAATACCTTGGTCCATGGCATTCACAACACTTATGGTACACGCAGGTGCACTTTGCCTGTCCGCAGAGGTTGGATGGTGAGAATTGAAGCCCAGTTGCCTGTTGTCCCCATGCAGCAATTTGCTCTGTGTGTGGCCCATGTTCTCCTCGAATGTAAAGCGGACCACTTATTCAGGTGTGAAGGTTGAAAATATGTGGCTCGCAAATGGAACACACGTGGCCACCAGATACCAACTTCTGAAAATGGTGGATATTACTTGACGCTACACTGGCCGATTTCGACATAACCTAACTTCCGAATCAAAGTCAATGGTCTACGGCTGTGCAACGTCTACTGACAGATTAGAAGATCACACGATTTTTTAGAATTCGAAAATCTGGCTGTTTTTTGTCACGTGTGATCAAGCGATTTGATCCTGGTGTGACATTGCATCATGCAAACATTACCCGCCAGCACTGCTTGAACTAAATATCGCAGTCACAAACACAGTCATTGTACACTTCAGTTAATTGCTTGACTGTTAGACGTCGACATGATGGCGAATAGGCGTGTTGGGCACTTGGCGAAAAACTTCAAACCAGTGATTTTATTAAGTAAAACAAATTACACGCATGTCTTGACGTGTTGGTTGATGTGTATCTTAGACCGGAGACGGAAGTAGATGAGTTGGCAGCGAAGGAGTCAAATTAAAGTACAAAGCTCTATGTCACTGGTTAGGCAATGACCTCTGCGCCTTGAGTGACTGGCTGACCACAACTTCGCCGCGTTGTTCTCACGGCACTGCCTTGAATTGGTCATTGAGTTATTCAGCATAGCAGCAGCCTTGAAACCGCAAGACGCCGAAAAAATAGAGAAATTTGGTCATGAAATATAATTTACTCCAGCAACAGTTTTGCTAATACTTCCGCCCACGTGGCTGCAGACTGCAAATTATCCTAACTGCGCAATTACACAAGTGCGCAAATGAAATGGCCATTTGGTAAACACTTTATTGTTTGAGAACAAACATGCATGCTGCAAGTGAATGTACGCATTTAAACATTGTAACTAAAGTACACACATTGGATTTTGAGGCTTCCATGAAATGTACACTAAATACCTTCCTCAGTTGTGATCGTCAAAAAGGAAATGGCACAGACGTCCGAGTAAATCGGCTCTCTTGTACGTCGTTCGTGGTTGAACCTAGTGGATATCGGCATCATCAGGTTGACAAGGATTTCTGCTCCAGGACCTTCATCACACCTGTCACTTGTGATGGGGGCGAGTTTTTGAACTAGCTTGGAATCAATTCGTGTCGCTGTGTGTTTGTCTACACCCAAGGTGTCTTGTTGTAGACTAAAGTAACTGGACGATAACGGAAAAATATTCAGCGATGTCGGGGAACGTTGGTGCCGTAGGTAACGTATTTTTGCTTGTTCACGGAAATAATAATGATGTTTGGCTAAATTTGTGTCCCGGTCCAAGGTCGAACTTGCGGTGTGAAACTAACCAACACACTGAAGTTAACACTCAGGTGTAGAGCGAATAGATGTGCCATCGCATGTGTCTGTTCCACGTGAAGCATGCACCACGTTAACCAGTCGGCCCCAACGGTATCACTTGGCTTAATGACAGCCCACTGTGGACATTTGAGAAGCAATAGGTGTTAACGGCGTTCTATTGCTAATTGCCGTGACCCATTACGCAGGCAGCAGATTTACCGAAATGCACTCTGGTATACATCAAATTCTCATCTTATTCACTAGGATTTTGTTTCGCATTTTCTTCTAGAGGAAACAGGCTTAGATGATCTGAAAATTATAAGGAGGTTCTATGCCACAAGATGTGGCTCACGTGCATTACTTGACTCGGGAATACTTGCAATTTTAGAAGATCACGTTACTGATTTCACTGAAAGGGGTGCATGGATCAGTTGAATTGGCGCCGATGTAGGTGGCCAGCCCTCTGACCGATTCAACCGTGCTTATTGAATTAGCAAAGTGCAGCACTCAAAAGTGGATTCGCACCACTGCACTTGCCTTTGATGCCACTTAAACCACCACGTTGATTACACCCTTGAGCATTTGAGCATCTTGGCACTAACCGAGTTGCGCGTGAAGTTGCGATCACGATGTGGCAGATCTGGAACCCGCACTGCTCTCACGTGGATTGGGAATTCCAGTCCAGTGTTAATTAATTTTATTTAGTGTTCCACATTGCTACTAAACAAATCCTTTTGAATTGTAGCATTTGCCTGCAGCATCCACAAATTGCTGAATACCACGCGGGTCGAGTAGTTGCCTGTTTCTAGATAACCTCCGTTGTTGCACTGACAGCTCTTTGCATTAACAGATGTTCGCATCAATGCACACACCTGCCAGCGCATGCATTTGTATGACAAAAACTTGCCGAAAGCTTAAATTCAAAAAGAGTGGGACTTTGGAAATGACCGCCCTGTGTCTCCGTGAATGCGGGTCACTGTATTTCGCGTCAACCATCTTCAGCAACGATTTGTAACTTCCTGTTCGTTAGGCTGATCCTGGTTTTCAGCCTAAGAGCAACATCTGTACTCGACTTTGTGTCATTCTCAGTCCTCTATTTGACAGCATCTCCAAACGCGAAAGGTCATTCTTAAGCGGTAGTTGCAATCGCGTAAGCCGTACAAATGGTGGAAACGCCTGCTAGGAGCTTCTAATTTTCAACGTTCCATTTACTAACAGAGGGAATATCATCATTGTAGTCGAACGCGTAGTCGAGAGCACACAGAACCTGGTACATGAATTTTTAAAATATAGACTGGTCATTTCGCATGCCACCAGACATTCGTCGGAGTTCAAATAAGCTAAAGAACTTAATAGCAGCAATTGAGAGTATGTCTTCACGAGAAACAGCTGCAAGTGTTTGTAATACTTTGGCACAATTTGCATATGAAAAATTGGGAACTGTCTTGCGACTGTGGCATTATTAAGGGCACCACATTTGTCTTCGTGGTCAATTTTGTGGATTTCTTAGGCAACACTATTAGTGGTCGCCCCAGGGCTGTTGAAAAGGAGGGTAATGCCAAGAAAGCACATATGCTCAGCCTCTGCCTTAAGTGCTCAAAATTTGTGGAGAGCATATTGTCTTGCTGCAGTGGTTGTTGGCTGACCCGTGTCTACCGCACAATGATACACGAATTGACGAGTAGGTCCGCAACTTGCCTCGAGCTCTTTGACAATTTCGAAAACCCCTTAAAACGTTGTTCATTTATATTCAATTCAAGCACTGCGAAATGGAGTCCAATCAAATTTATAGAAGCAAGAACTGCCTGAGCCAAAAGAGTGGTTGTAGTGATGGGCAAGTACTACCTGCCAACATCGCATTTAAAGAGGTGCCCAAAAATATCGAAAAGGCAGACATGTCAGTGACTGTAAATGTCATCGGTTTAAAGCGTCACCGGAGCCAAGTGGAACATTTAGCAGAGAATTAGTAGCCCAACATTATAGCTCCACTAACTAACCACCAATAACAAGCCGAGTAGAAAGGCCATAGACGTGGTTGGTTTCGTCAAACCACCGAAGTCCGCTTGTACCAGAGTGCGGGAAAGAAAAGTGACTACCAACTGTAACCAACATAATTGACGAAACTCGGTCATTACACAAACATACTTTACTCGCGTTCACTCGTCCACATGTTAACATATTCTTTTACAAACGCTTGAAGAAGTACACTAAACTGCAATATCATTGTGCATGTTGTCGTTTGCAGGATGTCTTTTGCGCACCAATTCTAGTCGTTTATGCATTCAGATTGAGGAGACATCGCAGGCATGATCAGAAATCCTGGAATTAAAGCAAACAAGGATCACTGGATGCACTGTTGTTTAGTCGCTAGTGGAATTAGGACTGGTCATTTGTGAAGTACAATTTCGACAAGCGTACAGATTAATCGTCCAAATCATGACATATTTGAGATATAAGTTATTACCATGAGCAACGCCCTAGCTTTGCGAATATTTTTCCTGAAATAATAAGTTGGACTACAGCGATCATCATTACGCCATTGGATTAATGCGGTTGATCAGAGCTCATTAATTAAAACTTCTTGCATTAAATGCCACCTGGAGCTTAATAGATATGTTATTCAAAATTCGAGAGTTCTTTTACTTAAAACGAGCAGAGTCAATGCGATGGAGTGTTCAGTGGAGGTCAAGCAGCACTGTATCATAGTGTTGCCATCTGAAGCAATTCAAGTAAACACGTGACCTCGACTTGCACCAATCAACACTCACTTGACGCACAGTGAAGTGGTATAAAATGGCGTGGATGAGGAGACTAACTAGAGGTTCAGGCATGTTTGGAGTTCTCGTCATCCTCACAACCTGCATCGCCAGCTTCACAGGAGGTAAGCAGACACGCTTCATTCGGTTGTAACACTTTGTCAATGCTCGAAGTCCACTAACTATTAAGATATCACAAAAACACTTTCTTGGCTTCAAAGTCATGGTTGCTACTATCGTTTGTTTTACGTCTGCCTATGCATCGTGTACGCAGCCATTGCAATATTAAAATTCACTACGAGAACAGTAGCTATAAGTAATGCATCGTCAGGCAAGTAAGATGGCAACACTCGCTCGTTTATGCAACCATTAAGCCTGAGCCCACGATACAGCGCATTGCTTATTACTTGCCAAATACTGATAGTATGCTTATATTTGCAGTCGGCGTCAATGGCCATTACATCATTGACACGCCAAGTGGATGTGCCGACGTTACTGCCCATCTACCTCGCCAATCATCGGTACGTAGTCTTAACACAAACTCCATGCCTTTATCTTGAGCACACCAGCACATTTCGAGCTGCTTAGGCACTGTTACCTTTTGCCCGTAACCAGAACAACGCCAATAGTTTCCTTGACTGACTCTAGCCCTCACCTTTCATATGCATGACAAAGGCAATGCGTCGTGCACAGAAGACGAATTGAGGGCCGTAGCATGCAGACTTCTAGAACCACGCCACGGCTACTTCGTGCAGCTTAGCCTATCTACGCTACCCCGATATCCCTGAAGATAAAGCAGACCCCATAAGTAGAACATAATTGCACGATTCTTTCCTCGAGAGCTTCATGTAGTTGTGTTAACGTCTGTATGAATTGGAGGTAGTGCATGACTCATGTGCTTTTGTTATCTGATACAGTTGAGTAGGCTAGTAAAATTACAGACGGCTGATTAACTAGTCGGAGAAGGCGGTTAACGATAGCAAATGTAGACGCGTAAATGAGGAGACGGCCCTTACCTGGCCCAGCCAAAGACCCAGTCATGTCAGAATGTGCCAGCTTGTGTAAATCAATGATTGATCAAGGCGGGTTAATGCATATGGAGCTGTCAGTGGGGTGTCGTGGATTGGAGGAGTGCATTCGCCAAATTAGCGGTTAAACTTTTTGGGAAATGCTGCATCCCAAACACGCGCACACACAGGCACAATCTGGAGATTGTGGTAAAGGTTTGTGCAAATTTCGTGGGTTGCATTTGGCTATAGTTGACAGTACTTGTTCACAGTGATAATAATTTCTGTCTCCTCAGGTTTTTCGTGTCGACTCTAAACTCTACAAGTTTGAAGACAACAATACCTGCTCCCAAGTAGGTGTCCCCAATGATTTCTTGGAATGTTCGCAAACACCTGGTGAGTGTGTGCATAATTTGCTTGTGACTTTACACGCGCCAGCTAATACCCATGCCTCTTCGACTCCACGTTGACGTACGATGTTGTGGACGAATAAATGTACTTTCTGGTGTCCGGCAGTGCCACATTCGACAACTTGCAGGCGTTACAACTTAGGCTTAACGTGTTTCAAATCCAAAGTATCTTGCACACGACTCATTCATGCCAAGTGCGCTTTAGACGAACCACTATATCTTGAATGACCAGTTGGGCAAGCTAATGAGTGATTTCGCAATATGTTTCTTTGATGTGAAGCACTCAAGCATACAACTCAATGTGATTTTGCATTCAGCAGTGCATAGCGCTGTGGTTACTGGTAGAAAGAGGATACGCGTAGAGCTGCAGCAGGAGTCATCACTGAAGTGGAGCATTGCGACGATGGCTGTTGATGTTGTTGTTGTTGTTGACATATTTTATTCTTGAACTTTCAGACCCATCTGGTGGGTTCATTGCACAAGTGCGAGTGTGCAAAGTCGAGAAAAAGAGATGGGTTGGATTCTACGTCGACGATTCTGACAATTGGGGTTTCGAAGCCTATATCACTGCCTACTTCTCACAAGGTGGCACCTGGGCCAACATCAACAGAAGTACGTTGCACATCGTACGTGCATGGCATGAATGTAATCAACTTGCCTGGCACGTGATCTGGCACATGCAAGAGACCACACACGTTTTCGTGGCATTCGCCACGTCGGACACCCTCATATACGGCCTAGTCGGTATGAAATGTAGTGAGACGGATGGCAGATGCATTGAAGACATAGCAGTCAAAATGTCTAGTTGGTAGAAACATCCACAATTTGTGCGTGCGCAGTGCACTTCCATCTCTGTCAACCAGCAACTTACTTAGCTTGAGAGGGGTTTCCCCCAAATGAAACAGACTTCCTTGAGGACATCTGCGGTTGGAGACAAACTGATGTTAACACAATGGAATGAATCCTCGACAAGTGTGCTGAACTCTGTTCGCTTTTTCTCAGATTGCATTCAGCCACAATGGTCTGGTCCGTTGGAAATCAAGGCCGGTGGACTGGATGTGGTTCCAGTCGTTTGTGCTCGTAAGATGGACTGTCGAATGGGAAAATACGTAGGTTCTATCCATTGTTCAAAAGCATCTCTGTTAAAACGCAGCACAAATGCTTCTGTTAGTCACACATTCGTTATCGCATGCGTGTGTTTGTGAAGCGGCAACTGCTAAGTATTTTTTAACAATGCTGCACTTTGAACTGCGGCTGCTTTATGCGTCGCTTTCAAACACCTGACTCCCATCATGGTGAAGGATAAAGGCTTGAAGCTAATAATTCGGCCAGCACAAGGATGACAACGATTGTGTTACTCTAAAATCACCAACACCACAACCACCACCGCCATCACAAGTAGTGCAGCAAATGTGCCTTTATTCGATACAGTATGCGTGTGTGTTTCACCAGTCTGCGTAAATTTGATTGTGACAGTAATCATCAAAGAGAATTGCCCTGAATCGTTTTCAATTGCCTGCTTTGTAGACTATATTAATGGACGATAACGGAAAAATATGCAGCGATGTTGCGAAGCCTTACTGCAGTAAGTTACGTATTCTTGCTTGTTCACGGCAATACCAATGATGCGTGGCTAAAGTTGTGTCCTGGTACAAGGTCAAACTTGCGATGTGAGACAAACCAGCACACCGAGGTTGATGCACAGGTGTAAAGAGAATAGATGTGCCACGGCCTCTAACACGCAACGATAATGTCCCTCGCATGTGTCTCTTCCACGTGAAACATGCTGCACGTTAGCCAGTCGAATTCAGTGGCATCAATTGGCTTATTGACAGTGCGCTGTGGACAGTCATGAAGCCATGAGGTGTTAACGGCGTTCAGTAGCTTGTCGCCGCAACCAAGCACACAGAAAGCAGATTTGTCAACATGCACTCTAATGGGCGTCAATTCCTCATCCAATTAAAGTGGCATCGCGTGCCACTGACTGTCTCCGATGGTCTGACTTCGTTCTGCATATTCCCCTAGGTGAAATCGGAGTCGAGGATGTGAAAATGGTAAGGACGTTCTATAAAAGACCCGAAGGAGTCGACATGTCTTACGTGTATTGCTCGACCGGTGACTCTTTCCTCTCTTATGCCATCGATTGGGTCAATTCAGGTACGACGTCGTGAGAACAATTTTACACCTGCCATTTTGGTCTCATTCATCTTCATGCAGTGTCACTTTTGTGCTGGTGTCGTGGTTGGGCAGATTAGTCAGCCTCTTGAAAGGTTTTAGCTTGATAGCAGAGAAGCAGAATGAGTCCACGCAACTGTTATCATTCTCTGCTTATTTGCTTGCGGCTGTTCGCCACTGCATGCGTGCAGCACCTTAACGATTCCATCCTATTCCACACGGCTCGTGGAATGTGAACTGCCTTACCTCACACAGCAATCCTTTTACTTTTCAGCCTAGAAGACGGATGTGGCATGTCGAAGCAAGGCGCCAAGTCAAGTCAAGCGTTCATTTGTAGTTTAGTCTATTAATTATATAAAATGCTTTGAAATTTTAAATGCGTGCTTTTGTTCGACTTGCCATGTTATTGGGTTTCGGAGCAAAGTACTATGTGGCTAACTGAAGGGATAGTAATCTATACTGCAAATCTCAACGAGGGACACGTGTAGACACGTGTGGACGCAGGTAGTTAGAAATCTGCGTACAGGCTTCAAATGTGCTGACTTTGAGCTGACTCCTGAATGTGTGTGTGAAACATGTAGTTTACCTTGAAGTGGTTTCCATCCACAAACACTTAACAATGTTACGTTTACTGCGCTACACTTGGAATCCTCAAGAATTCGATGCAATGTGCCCGCCTTGTGTTTATTTTAAGAGAGCCTTTTGTTCAAGCAACAGCCTCAGTGCCGGTCTGGCTTAGCAGATTGGAGTTGAATGAGGTAACTGAACGAAGACAATTAGACGTTAATGTTGTCGACACTTCGGTCTGTCCAGGTGATTTTCTCGGTGATCACTCCTAGCCACCATGAATGGGAGGAAGGCGCACGTAGGGGCCATTACCATCCGCAAGTTGGGAGGCATTTCAAGGCACTAGAACACGATCCTGACCGTTCACGGCTGCCTAGTGATCACAATACTCTGACAGCACATCGCAGTGCAATTCACATCTTGATCGGTTAACTCAGTTGACGTGCAAGATATCGTAATTTATTGATGTTGTCAGCGCCTTTCACAGACTATCGACAGTGGACATCTGCGTTAGAAGAAGCAAATGTGTTAGAAGTTGTCATTAACACGTCTGACCTATGCATCGATACACGTCTACTGCTCAAGTCGTCGGTAGTAGTAATCCACCACAGTGACATTCTGCTAGCCCATTTCCAATCCACTTTGACAGGGCTCATTTGGCATTGCAATATATGTCATGACCTTTCCCGTAACTCACTGTTTTAGCTTGCTGACGCATATTTGACTACTGTTTAGCTTGCGAATTCGGCAACTTATCCACCTCCCGAATCTCCTTTCTTGTTCTTCCATTATGCTTATTTATTTTTGTTCTTGCCACACCGTGGAGACAGCAAAGTTAATGTGAACATCTATCTGAAAGACGAAATTCATAGGGCCTATTAGGGAGATTGAGAATGGAACAGTGTCAGGCCATGTAACGTGCATTCAAAGACATTTGCTCACCACAACAATACCACCTTAACGCCTACTGCATATCCATCCTCCCAAGCTATTCAACGCCGTTCATGCTGGTTGCACCCAATTACCCCATACTGTAAATTTCAGCCTGGCTGCTTCTAGCTTATATCACGAGTTCAATTGCTGCAGGTTTCAAAAAGTGGCAGTGAACAACACCGCAGCCGCCACATTGTGTAAACCAGATTAAGCCACGCAGATACGCGGAGAGACTATGAAGACCAAGGTTAGCGGAGAATTGGATTTCAAGTCCGCCGCGTATTGTTCATCAACAACTATTGGCTAAATATCGCTTAGCTGTGTTGAGGAATGGATGCTGTTGTTGGTTTGAACCTGCAGATGCTACCGGCACAGGACACGATCTTTAAAATAGGCAAGCTCCATCGTAGGTGAGTTGGAGTGGACGACGCATGTCATTGTGCCTGATGATAACATGAGTGCAATATGATAGTGTTCTTGGGGTGCAGTTTGAAGTAGAGAAGGAGTGTGGCTGAGTTGATATCAGCTTGCTCATTACCGTGCTCAAATCATCGACGTGGCTGCTTGTGTCCAACCACAATGGTGGGGTTGTTGCCATAAGAAATCCATTTCTGCAGAGGATCAACCATCGTCTTCCCTAACGGCTGACCGAAAACCGAGTATCACGAGGAGGTATACGTCCGACAAACGAAATGGGTTAATGTGAGCTGTTATAGCAGCTTTCAGTTGCCGATGAAAACGCTTTACCATGCCACTTGACTGGGGGTGGTAAGCGATCGTTCGAATCCGTTTAGTCCACCGAATTCATTGAGATCCGACAGCAACCTTGATTAAAACTGCGTTACTCGTTCAGCGGTGTTGGCGAAGAGGACTTCAAATACGGCAACCCATTTTTTTCACTAATAGTCATTCTACGGTTTCGGCAAAGACATGTTTTATTGAAAAGGCATCCTGCCATCCGGTAAAATGGTCAACACAAGACAGAAGGTAATGAAATCTTTTCGAGTGCAGTAAGGGTGAAACGATATCAACGTGCACATGATCAAACTGATTATTTGGGACGAGAAAATGTCCAATGCGGGTCTTGTTGTGACTGCATACCTTCGATACAGGACAGCTTACGCTATTTCCAGTTTACTGTGAAATATTGCGATTCATGGCAGGCCAAAGGTAACGACTTAATACCAGCTTCCGTGTTGCACGCAGACCAGTATGTGTAAAACCGTGAAGAGCCTGAACCACATGGCGTCGCATCGGCTTAGGTTCGAAAGGACGTTACACACCATTTGAAATGTCGCACACGACTGAAGTTGTGAATGAGGGGGGAGGAGTTTCGAACAGTTCTAAAGTTTTATTTCGACTTCGGACCTCACCACCCTAGAAACCCTTTTTTAAATGCTTATTTGCCTATATTGGACACGAATTTTACAGTTTGTCGACAGGGTCGGTACTATCAATGCCAGGACACTGCTAGCAGTTCCCTTTATATAAATTGTAATGTTTACTGACGAGGATGTTAGTAGAATGATCGTGAATATAAACAAGCTTGCATCGTGGATACTTCATTGGTATGCTGTGGTACGCTCTACTAATCACGTCAAGGTTGAGCAACCTAGTAAATATTTTTCTCTGCTTGTCTTATGGAATACGTGAGTAGTGAAAGCGGCTAATTGAACTCAGCAGTACGTTATCACATGTCAACCAGTGTAGGAAAGCCAGAAATGCTTAAATTCCATGATTCTAAAGAAACGCAGCAACACAACGTCCAGTATTGCATCAAGGAATACCCATCCGTTTCAGAAATAGGTGTCCTGTGCCTACTTGTGGCATTCGCGAACACCACATTTCCTGCCTTCACTCCTGAACGTGTGGCATGTAATAGCTGCAGAAGAACATGGTCACACAAGCCGAGATTTGCTAAATGATAACGACAGGCAACTGGACGCTATCAGATAGCTGACGTCACTAATGTAAACATGGCACTGCTTGCATTTTGTGGAGGGCAAATGTGTGAGAGAATTCATCCCATGATTTTCGCCCACGATTCCACCCAATTGTACGGACCTCCTTTTGACAATTTCGCATTCTCCATTACTGCTTGAGACATCATGGCACGCAGATGGATGTAAATGCCATAGAGCAAGAGAGCAGTTGTGACGTTAACACCAAGAATTCTGCCAACGACAAGATTTTACACTCCACAGATGGATTTTCATGTGGAAACGGACAGTCATATGCACACAGACGTTTATGAGAAATGTGACTGTCAAAGCCCATTACTACCTGACCACGGCAAGGTTTGTCACATTAAACATTGTGTTTCCTTCAGGATCCGCCAGACATACCTCCTCCTGACAATTTCGCATTTACCAATACTTCTTGAACCACCATGGCACGCTCATGAATGTGAATGCAAAATAATGGCCCTGACGTTAACGCCACGCAGACA